CCTAGAAATTTAGTGTTCACTCCATTAATGTAATAATAAGTTTGTGGGTATGGGAGGGTGGGTACAGGAGGAAAGAGGAGTGACTGGTGGAATGAGGTAAAGAGTGCAATAAAAGAGAAAAAGGTAGATTATGACAGGGTTTTACAAAGCAGAAGTGATATAAGAAGGGCAGAGTATATGGAGAGTAAAAGAAATGGTAACGAGAGTGCAAAAGGAGAGCAAATGATAGTGTGAGAAGCACTATCAAGAAATTTTGCTGAGAAGAAGAAATTTTGGAGTGAGATAAACAAGTTAAGAAAGCCTAGGGAAAGAATGGATTTGTCAGTTAAAAACAGAGTAGGGAAGTTAGTAGATAGGGAGCTGGAGGTATTGTGTAGATGGAGGGAAAACTGTGAGGAACTTTTAAATGTTGATGAAGAAAGGGAGGCAGTAATTTCATGCACTGGCCAGGGAGGTATAACATCTTTTAGGAGTGAAGAAGAGCAAGATGTGAGTGTGGGGGAGGGGCATAAGGCAATGCGTAGAATGAAAAGGGGTAAAGCAGCTGGAACTGACGGGATCATGACAGAAATGTTAAAAGCAGGAGTGGATACAGTGTTGTAAAGGTTGGTATTTTTGTTTAATAAATGTATGAAAGAGATGAAGGAGGACAAAAGAGATTGTAAAAATTATAGGGAAATAAGTTTACTGAGTTACAGGTAGTAGGTTGGTAGACAGCAACCGCCCAGGAAGGTACTACCGTTCTGCCAAGTGAGTGTAAAACGAAAGCTGTAATTGTTTTACATGATGGTAGTATTGCTGGTGTCCATTTTTCTGTCTCATAAACATGCAAGGTTTCAGGTACGTCTTGCTACCTCTACTTACACTTAGGTCACACTACACATACATGTACAAGCATATATATACACACCCCTCTGGGTTTCTTCTATTTTCTTACTAGTTCTTGTTTATTTCCTCTTACCTTCATGGGGAAGGGGAACAGAATTCTTCCTCCGTAAGCCATGCGTGTTGTAAGAGGCAACTAAAATGCCAGAAGCAAGGGGCTAGTAACCCCTTCTCCTGTATATATTACTAAATGAAAAAGGAGAAACTTTCGTTTTTCCTTTTGGGCCACCCTGCCTCTGTGGGATACGGCTGGTGCGTTGAAAGAAAGAAAGAAGTTTACTGAGTATACCAGGTAAAGTGTACTGTAGGGTTATTATTGAAAGAATTATAGGTAAGACAGAGAGCACGATTGCAGATGAGCAAGGAGGCTTCAGAATGGGTAGGGAATGTGTAGATCAAGTGTTTACATTGAAGCATATATGTGAACAGTATTTAGATAAAGGTAGGGAAGTTTTCATTGGATTTATGGATTTAGAAAAGGCATATGATAGAGTGAATAGGGGAGCAATGTGGCAGATGTTACAAGTGTATGGAATAGGCAGTAAGTTACTAAATGCTGTAGAGTTCTTATGAGGAAAGCGAGGCTCAGGTTCGGGTGTGTAGGAGAGAGAGAGATGACTTCCCAGTAAAAGTAGGTCTTAGACAGGGATGTGTAATGTCACCATGGTTGTTTAACAGATTTAAAGATGGGGTTATAAAAGAAGTAAATTCTAGGGTGTTGGGGAGAGGGGTGGGATTACATTATGGGGAATCAAATACAAAATGGGAGTTGACAGTTACTTTTTGTTGATGATACTATTTTTTTTTTCTTTAAAATCCCTATTCTAAAGAAAAGTTGCAAAGGTTAGTGGACAAGTTTGGAAGGGTGTGTAAAGGTAGAAAGCTAAAAGTGAACATAGATAAGAATAAGATGATGAGGGTATCAAAGGATTTAGATAAAGAAAAATTGAATATCACATTGGAGAGAGGGAGTATGGAAGAAATGAATGTTTTCAGAATTTGGGAGTTGACTTGTCAGTGGATGGGTTTATGAAGGACAAGGTTAACCAAAGAATTGATGAAGAATAAAAGGTGAGTGGTGCATTGAAGCATCTGTGGAGAAAAAAAACGTTATCCACTGAGGCAAAGAAAGGAATGTACGAGAGTATAGTGGTACCAACACTCTTATATGGGTGTGAAGCATGGGTTGTAAATGCTGCAGCGAGGAGGCAGCTGGAGACAGAGATGTGTCTAAGGGCAATGTGTGGTGTAAATATTATGCAGAGAATTCATAGTGTGGAAATTAGGAAGAGGTGTGGAGTTCTAAAAGTATTACTCAGACTGAAGAGGGGCTGTTGAGGTGGTTTAGTCATTTAGAGAATGGAGCAAAGTAGAATGACTTGGAGAGCATATAAATCTGTAGGGGAAGAAAAGCGAGGTAGGGGTCATCCCCGAAAAGGTTGGAGGGAGGGTGTAAAGGTGGTTTTGTGAGCGAGAGGCTTGGACTTCCAGCAAGCGTGCATGAGTGTGTTAGATAGGAGTGAATGGAGATGAATAGTTTCTGGGACCTGACCAGCCATTGAGTGTGAGCAGGATAATATTTTGTGAAGGGATTCTGGGAAACCGGTTAGCCAGACTTGAGTCCTGGAAATGGGAAGTACAATGCCTGCACTTTAAAGGAGGGGTTTGGGATATTACAAAGACAGTGATTATGTATGAGTGATGGTGAGAAATGTTGAATGATGATGAAAGTTTTTCTTTCTTTTAGGGTCACCCTGCCTCGGTGGGAAATGGCAGACATGTTAAAAAAAAAAAATTGTTAGTGGCAACAAAGCAAACACTTTTGTTTTCTTGAAAATCTCTTGGAAAGAAGGCAGCCAGTTTCACCAATGCACTGGAAAGTACGAGAGAACAGGAAATGTAATGGACACTGGAAACATCAGTGACAGAAGTATGGTCCTAATTACTACCAAGTGTATTAATCTGATTCAACGCTTCAATATCCAGAGGATAATGGGGTGATATAAAGATTTTATAAATTAAAAATATTGGGAAAGCATAGTACAGGAGTGTTAACAGAAGGAGAGAGGAAAGTTTGTCCAATATAGTGGTAGGCATAAATTTGTGTTCTAAACTTTAATGCTAAAGTGAAACACACTTTTATGAAGAGTGTAGCAGGAAAGCTTGGAGTGCCACGTGTAAATGCAAGATCTTTAACCCGTAAATGGTCCAAACGTGTATATACGTTCTTACCGGTAGTGCCCCAAACGTAAATACAGTGGAACCTCAAAAATCGAACTTTCTTCGGTCCAGAAGTCTGTTGGAGTGCCTTTACCGAATGAATTTATTTCCATCAGGAATAATGTAAATTAGATTAGTCCACTTCAGACCCTTAAAAATACACTTATAAAAGCACTTACAAAAATACACTTACATAATTGGTTGTGTTGGGAGCAGTTCAATTTTTGAGGTTCCACTGTATACGTTTTATTTTTCCTGCCTCCAAATTTGGCACGATTGGCCTGAGTTGCCTGGTCAGCATATAATAGGTCTTAACACTCGGTGGGCACCATATTAAAAAAATCTGGGACCACTTAGTACCTTGTGGGAGCGCCAGTTATACTCAGCGCCAGCTGGAGCAAACACCAAGGAGTCATTGATGTAGTGTCATATTAACACTCCCCTTTTAAGAGGAAAGTGATGTTAACCCCAAGTTTAGGGTCTGTCTATCTGTCTCTGTCTATTTCTGTCTGTCTCTGTCTATCTGTCTCACAGGTACACACAAATACAATTATACATAGTGTAAATTACCTAGGATAACCTAAAAAATCCAAAGTGCTATACAGTGCCTGTAGATATAATGAATAAGAATACCTGTTGGTTCACAGTGGCTCTCTCTGAGACAGACAGAGAGACAAGCAGAGAGATGGAAAGAGACAAGCAGACAGAGAAATAAGACAGAGACAGATAATCAGAGATAGGAGCTCATCAAATATCATCCATAATCTCTGCACCCTGCTGGAGCCCATCAAATGTCATAGCTTATCTGATCTTATCACTGCCCTCCCGGATGCTTGTCACTGAACACTTGTCATACACATTGCTTCAAGGGAATTTCTTCCTTCTTCTTCCTCTTCCTTCCTTCTTCTTCTATACTTCTGTGTATCCAAAACATTGCTGGGACCTATAAATACTTTGTATATATTCATAGATAATAGTAAATTACCAAGGCAAGTGTAAATGTCCACCTGTCAATATGCTTATAACAATTTGAATACAATTTCAGTATAATATTAGTGTCAGAACAATAAATTGTAATTATCAGTACATAAAAATTATATAAAATAATATAAAAATGAGAAAAAATGGTATATCGGCAACACTTCTGTAAGCGGCAGGACTATGTTGCTGTCAGGTGAGCATTAAGTGCCAACTTTGCAGCCTCATATCTCAGTAAGTACTGACCCTAATTTTTTTTATTTTAATCCTGTAACACTTAGAAAAATGTGCTCTTTATTTTCATTAAAAAAATAATTTTTTTATTTTTCAAAATATTCGGGGCACTGGGGTAGTGAACGTATATATACGTTTGGACCGTTTACGGGTTAAATAAAGAAGTTGGGTACCTTTGACAAGTTTTGAGTGTCTTACTACTTTTGGAGACTGGCCACTGGCCAGGCAATATACATTTCAAGAAGATAGATTCAGTGCTTACTGAGCAAAAACTATAGCCCAGCTTTAATTCACTAAGATAAAATAAATTATTTATGGCAGATCTATTCTTTCTTTTTTGGGTCACCCTGCCTCGGTGGGAGACGACCGACTTGTTGAAAAAAAAAATCTATTCCATCACATACTCTCAAATCTATACACACACTACTAGTTAAAAAAGACGAATATGCAGAACAAACTTTTACTGAGACATTTCACTTGTACAACAATCATCATAATGAAATTTTTTCAGTCAATGACTGAAAAGACCTTTTGTATAGACAAAAACATTGTCTTGGTAAATTTTTACCCTGCCCTTGTTCCTATTTCAATCACTGTCACTTATATATATGCCATTTTTCTCCAGACAGACTACTACAAATCTTTCTTCCTCTTTTATACTTAACCCTCTGAACAGTTATTACCTGATAGGTGGAGTATTTGGGTTTTCTTTTCGATGTGCTGCTATTAAATGCTGGACATTGACTGTGGGTCCTTGAGGTCCATGACCAGTGGCTGTGAAGGATAAAGAAGAAGGGAGACCAGATATTCCACTTATACTCCCTGCTGGTTTGGGTAGTATAGGTTTCATGGAGGCCAAACCTGAGCTGAGCTGCTTGGTGAGTTTGCTGTGAGCTTCTTGAGTCATGGATACTTTAGGTGTTTCACCCCCTGGTTTATTGCTACTTGTATGTATGTCTATTACACTAATGTTATTACTGCCACCACTATCTCCCTGGCTGCTGTCTCTTGTGGTCACAACTTGTGGCAGCATCTGAAAAATATACAAGTGCAGTATTTTAAAGCAAGAACACTACATGATGATTTTTCAAGTACCAGGAGAACGCTAATTAAATATTAATATTCACGAGGAAGTGCTAAGCCTATGAAGGTCATAAATTAATTTGAAAATGGGAGGTAATCAGGTTTGATCTGAAGGGGATGGTAGCTCCAATTCCTTGGCTGCAAAGCTCTTCATCAGCAACAAGGTACACCCATCCCCTTGAAAGATATCCCAATTATAGAAAAATTAGAACAGAAATTTTAAATGTACCTCCTATTTGAAACAAATTACAGCCTCTCCTCATTTAGTGACACACTCATTTATCGACGAGTCAGACTTACGATGGGCTCTCTGACCAGTGTGCATACCTAAATCATTAGAGCTGATTTCATCTATTCTGTTTATTACAATTTACAGTGCACCTCTGTATAAACATTTAAAAATGTACTTAAAAGTTATAAATGGTGCAAAGATGACATTAAAACAATATCAAAGATGAGTGACACAAACCCACTATAGTACGCTCCTTGATTAGTGAGGAATTCATTTACCAACGTGTTCTCAGGAACGGAATTCTGTTGTTAAGTGAGGAGAGGCTGTACTGTATATGAATCAGAGATTTTCCTAATTAAAATTCAGAATTTTTACCTTTATTGTGAAAATTTTAATTTTCTGAGAACATTTTATTTTAAATGTTTCAGAAAATTCTGAATTAGCAGATTTTATGGATAAAAATTAAAGTATTTTAACCATACTGCATTATTATTGCAATTACAGTAAATGTAAAATCTGTAATCATATAGAACCCAGGAAATGGGTGGCAATCAGGTTTGATCTAAGGAAGGGAAAAAGTAGCTCTAATTCTTTATATCAAGAGCTCTTCACTGGCAATGAGGCACTCCCTTTGAAAGGACAACTGTTTTACAACTGTAGCAAAGCATATGGGAACACTGGCACTGGTAGCTTGAGTCTAGTCTTTACTGATAAAAAGAATATTGTAACTCTCCCTGGAGCAAATCTTTTATTTACAGTACCTTCTTTCCCCTCATGTAAAAAGATTACAAAAGTTCAAAATATCCTATATTCTACGCACCCAACAGAGCTGTACTGACCCTTGTAGATTTAGTGCTTGATTGTGATAATAATAATAATAATCCATACACCCAAAATACAAAATATTATTGACCCTTTCAGGGTCGAGAGGCCCTCTTCCAAACTCGTTCTCAGGGTCGAAAAATTTTTGGAAAAAAAAAAATTATTATTTTTTCTTATGAAATGATAGAGAATCTATTTCCAATCATAACGACACCAAAAGTATGAAATTTGATGGAAAACTTACGGAATTATGCTCTCGCGAAGTTAACGGTCTCAATGATATTTACGCATCAGCAATTTCCCAATTTGATCCCTATTTTCGGCCAATTCCAATGTTCCAGTCTACTAAAATCATAGCTATTTTGCGAGAGCTCCATTTATTCTATCGACTGAGTACAAGAAACTGCCATTTACTGATTTCAACTACCCAATAAAGTGGTCAGAAATTGGCAATTTGGTCAATTTCCCACAAATTTCAAAATATGCCAATTGCAAAACAGGGTCCAGAATAAACAAGACAGACATTCCTGTCACTAAAATAGCATTTTATTTGTTCATTAGTCACATCTCCAGGCCCCTCTTACATTACTTTTGCTTTCCATTTTGAATTTTTATTCTCACAAAAATAGAAGATTTACTGTTATGTATACTACTGCATCATTGTAAAAACGGTGTAAATAATATCACCGCACTTGCGCAATAATATCAGACTCACCATTTGTTGTGCATTAGACACGTGGCGTGATTTCTTTACTCTTAAGAGAACATCAGCAAAAATCTAACATTTTTGCTATTTTGTGCTCAATTTCAAGGTACTTCTCATCATGAAAAACAATAAAATCATCTCTATTTCTGTAATATATCTTCCATTCATCAAATGAGACCAAGAAAACGAGAATACAATCATAAATACCATACGAAAATAGACTGCAAAGTCGCTGTTTTAAACCAAAAACACAATCGGAGCTTTTTTTCTCATGCACTGTGCTGCAGGATTTTTTTTGTACTGCACACACTGACCATGCAGACCCATTCTTTCATATGTAGGCCTACCAGCTTTCTCTCGCTAGATTTGAAGGCACTAGAATTTATGAGTTCAAGTACAGCACCAACCCTGGCTTTCAAGTTGTACCAGTGTGTACATTTAAAACTAAACAAGAAAAACAGAACACTTTGGTTGCCATTTGCACTGTTGGGGATGCTGTTGCTATTACAGGAGGGGCCGCTTATACAGCAAGGTTAAGTTCTGGGCTACTGCTGTAAAGCAAAAATCACTGTCAAGTGAATCATAGCCTTTTTTTCACTTTTAAGTGCATGTGAAAAATGGATAACATATTTACACTATATGTTAAACTAGCAACAGAACTAGGCCTAAAAAATGCATATACAGTATATACATTACTTACCTTAAAATATTTTCATTCTTAGCTTATTGTGAGTGGTGAATATATTTATTGTAGGAAATCTGAATAAATGAAAAATGGGTATAATTAAAACCGATGTATTGGCAAAATGCCCTAAAGTGAAGCACTATAAAGTGGGGCCCTCCTGTATTCTATTAAGCAAAACAATGCCCTCAGGACTGTATAAGCCCTCATTTCCATATATTTGGGCATTTGGCTTAATTTATTAAGAAAATAGACTGAGAGACAGTATTTTTAGTACTGGGTAAGCCACAGGGCCCAACTGACCTTAATACAGTAGCTTTCAACACAATACCATCGCCCAGTGCAATACTTTAATTTTAGAATGTTCTTCAAAAACTAAGGTAGGCTCATACATGCAATACACACAAAACAGGTAGAAAAATTTTAACAAAGGTAGGCTCATACATGCAATACACACAAAACAGGTAGAAAAATTTTAACAGTCAGAGGCCCAATTCATACACAAATGTGGGTTCTATACAAGTACATATACATAGTATCCACTTTTTATTTCTGTATTAGAATATTTTAAATGACTAAAAATGAAAATGGTAAACTCAAGATATGAGGGTAAAACATAAAAATAAATAAATAAAGTTTTACATAACTCCTTACAGTACCTTCAGAAAAAGTGACAAAAATCACAAGAACTTGAAATCAAGAAACAGCAAAATATAACTGAACGGAACTGACAAAATCCTAAGTAAATTAAAGTGTCTTGGGAACCAAGTGCTTTCTAACTACCTGGAGAGCTTGCGGGGAAGCAGAGCCAGCAATTAGCTGGCTCATCATCATGAGAGGTAACTGGGGGCCACCCAAGGAAGAATATCCTCCTTGGGGTAGAAACATAAGGTTACTGCGCCCTTCTTCACTGGTTTCTTCCTCTACCTTACCCCCTACTTCCTCTACATCACCCTGGCCACTCTTCATGAGCAGAACGTGCCGCCGCCTTGCCAATCGAATATAGAGTTCTTCCTTACGTTTTTGTAATCTAAGGAGTGTGTTCCATTCTTCTTCTTTCTGCTTAATCAAGAACTCTAATGCCTGAAATTAAACAAAATGAGCAAAGTCAACATGTAAACATTATAGAATAATAATAATGGTAAAGTCACAAATAATCTACACCTAGGAGCTGAAACCTTTAGAAATTTCAGTCTATTCTAGACCATTATTCAATCACAGCCCACTTGACAATGGTTCAGGATGAACTGACAAGTCATCTAAAATTTCCTCTTCTAATTGTGGATTACACTGGTCTGCATGATTTTTTTTGTATTGATTCTATGGTATATTTTTCGGTATATATATGGAAAATACCTAGGTAGTAGGTTGGTAGACAGCAACTGCCCAGGGAGGTACTACCATCCTGCCAAGTGAGTGTAAACGGAAGCCTGTAATTGTTTTACATGATGGTAGGATTGCTGGTGTCTTCTTTTTCTGTCTCATACACATGCGAGATTTCAGGTACATCTTGCTACTTCTACTTACACTTAGGTCACACTACACATACATGTACAAGCATATACAGTGGACCCCCGGTTCACGTTATTAATCCGTTCCTGAGAGCTCATCGTAAAGCAAAATTATCGGAAGGCGAATCAATTTTCCCCATAAGAAATAATGGAAATCAAATTAATCCATGCAAGACACCCAAAAGTATGAAAAAAAAAACTTTTACCACATGAAATATTAAGTTTAATGCAATAGAATAATTACAATAATAACAATAGAATAATCACAATAAAATAATTGACACCTTTAATGAAGATCTGGTGATGATATATGCGATGGGAGGAGGGAGAGTGTGAGTTTTAATGTTTAGAAGGGAATCCCCCTCCATTAAGATTGAGTAGCAAAGTCCTTTTCCAGGTTACTTCCCTTCGTCTTTCTAATGCATAGACCAGCTTGAGTCAATGGACTTCTGTGCCAACATATCTGTCCATAGAGGCTGTACCTCTCGTTCCTTTATGATTTTCTACAATGGTTACAACATTGTCAATGACAGGTTGCCAACACGGCTTGCAGTGCTGTTGTCGAGGGTGATTTCATCAAAACAAGGTTTGCCCACTTCAAGCCACTTTGCACACATTTCTTAATCTTTGAAGTACGCAACTACGTCAATTTCTTATCCCTCTCGAAGCAGTTTCCAGGTCTGGCCTCTTGCTGTTGAAGAGATCTAACAGCTCATCAGTGGTTAGTCGTCTTGTCCCTCACAACTCTTTCACATCATACCACTTAACTCAACAAGGTCTGCCCATTTTGCTCAATGGATTCTCAAACTGGATAGGATTCCGGGGTAGCTCAAAACCTTTTCAAAATCCTTTTGTCTACAACATTCTGGCACAGTTTTTCAAAGCAGAGTTCAAGGTCATCTTAGTCACTCCCTCCAAGCCTTACCTATAATGTTTACACAACTGATGGATTATAGTGACCCTTTCCCAAAAAATCCTTTAGTCATAGAGTTTCTGATGGTACTTTCTAACACTTTCATAATAGCTTTTGTGTACAGTTTCTTGAGTTGAAATGACCGCTGGTACATGGACTGCAGTGGAGAGGAGTGGTATTAGAGGCAAAAACTTGGACCTTAATGAAGCTCATGTCCCCACAAAGTCGCTCTGCCAAGTCTGTAGGATGACCAGGGGCATTGTCTAACACCAGGAGGCACTTATGGTCTAATTTCTTTTCAATTAGGTAATTTTTCACAGTGGGGGCAAAATGCATGGTGAAAACCGTCATAGAAAGTCCCTAGTGACCCATGCCTTAGTGTTTGCCCTCCACAGCACACACAAATTAGCCTTGAGGATATTCTTTTGCCTGAACGCTCTGGAAGTTTCTGAGTGTGATACACCAATAAAGGCTTCACTTTGCAATCACCACTAGCATTGGCACACATCAGAAGAGTAAGCCTGTCTTTCATAGGCTTATGTCCTGGGAGTGCCTTTTCTCCTCTGAGTAATGTAAGTCCTGCTTGGCAGTTTCTTCAAAACAGGCTGTTTTATCACAATTAAACACTTGTTCAGGTTTCAATCCTTCGCCTCTATGTACTCCTTGAATTCATGCACATATTTTTCAGCTGCTTTTTGGTCTGAACTGGCAGCCTCACCATGCCTAATCACACTATGTATGCACTACGATTCTTAAATCTCTCAAACCAACCTTTGCTGGCCTTAAATTCACTCACATCACCACTAGTTGCAGGCATTTTTTAATTAAATCCTCGTGCAACTGCCTAGCCTTTTCACAAATGATCCTTGAGAGATGCTATCTCCTGCTATCTGTTTTTCATTTATCCACACCAATAAGAGTCTCTCAACATTTTCTAACACTTGCGATCGCTGTTTTGTAATCACAGTTGCACCTTTTGCAAGAACAGCTTCCTTGATTGCGTTTTCCTGCTCACTTAGTAGAGATGGTTGATTGGGATTTACTATACAACTTGGCCAGGTCCGACACACGCACTCCACTTTCATACTTGCAATTATCTCTTTCTTCATTTCAATAGTCATTAGCACCCTTGGTCTCAATGGGTTGGCACTAGAAGCTTTCTTGGGGCCCATGGTGACTTATTTTGCAGAAACAAGCACCAAAAACAGTGATAATATGGATAATATGGAATGTACCGAATGTATCCTTAGATGCGCGCACACTGGCTGGCTTGTAAACACTGGCACACACAGGGCAGTTCAGGCCACATGTAGACACGTCTCATACGAATCGTATTGCGTACCGGGTTTTGTAACGGGAACCGAGGCAAATTTTTTGCGATATAATGCTTCGGATACCGGATTTATCGGTTACCGATGACTTCGAAAACCAGCGGTCCACTGTATATACACACCCCTCTGGGTTTTCTTCTATTTTCTTTCTAGTTCTTGTTCTTGTTTATTTCCTCTTACCTCCATGGGGAAGTGGAACAGAATTCTTCCTCCAAAAGCCATGCGTGTTGCAAGAGGCGACTAGAATGCCGGGAGCAAGGGGCTAGTAACCCCTTCTCCTGTATATATTACTAAATGTAAAAGGAGAAACTCATTTTTCCTTTTCGGCCACCCCACCTCGGTGGGATACGGCCAGTGTGTTAAAAAAAAAATACATATGGAAAATAGTGATTCATTGTGTTTTTTATTCATCTCTATCACGTGAGGTTGTCAAGTCGTATGGAAACATTACTTTTCTCTTTTCGTATAACATAAGTACAGTGAACCCCCAGATATCGCCTGGTGCGAAAATCGGCCAATTCGGAAATTGAGCACTTTTTGGGCGAATTTCCCCCGGAATTTCGGCCATCCATTCGGAAATCATTGGTATGAGACGCGTCCACCCGCCGGCAACGTGCTTCTTCACACACATCACACTCAGTCTGCGGGTCTCTCTCACTGAGTTAGAAATACTCCACACGTTCATCCATTGTTTTAGGTGCTTGTTTATTGATTGCAACAGTGAAATAAGCTACCATGGGACCAAAGAAAGTTCAGAGTGCCAGCCCTTTGGTAAAGAAGATGAGAAACGCAATAGAATTCAAGAAAGAAGTTATAGCAAAATATGAAAGTGGCATACATGTGGCAGAGCTGGCCAGGGTGTATGGGAAATCTACACCAACAATCAGTTCCATCCTGCTGAAGCAGAAATCAAGGAAGCTGATGTTGCAAAAGGTGTAAATATGCTAACGAAACAGAGGTCTCAAACAAGTGAGGATGTGGAGAAGTTGTTGTTGGTGTGGGTCAATGAGAAACAATTAGTGGGAGATAGTGTTTCTGAGAGAATAATTTGTGAGAAAGCAAGGCAGTTGCATGCGGATCTCGTAAAGAAAATGCCAGGAACGAGTGCTGCTGTTAGTGAATTTAAGGCCAGCAAAGGCTGGTTCAACAGATTCAAGAAGCGTAGTGGCATACACAGTGTTGTAAGGCATGGCAAGGCTGCAAGTTCTGACAAATGTGCAGCAAAAGCATTTGTTGATGAATTCAAGGGGTACGTAGAGGCTGAAGGATTCCTCCCCAACAAGTGTTCAATTGTGACGAAACAAGCCTCTTTTGAAAAGAAAATGTCAAAAAGGACCTACATCATGCATGAGGAAAAGGCACTGCCAGGACACAAACCTATGAAGGATATGCTAACTCTTTCGTTCTGTGGTAATGCTAGTGGGAATTTCAAAGTGAAGACTTTACTCGTGTATCATTCTGAAAACCCCCGAGTGTTCAAGGAAAACAACGTCATGAAGAGTAAATTGTATGTGATATGGAGGCTAACAACAAGGCATGGGTCACAAGGCTAATTTTCAATGAGTAGGTCAAAGAAGTGTTTGGCCCGAATGTGAAGAAATACCTCCTGGAAAATAAATTGCCAATTAAGTGCCTCCTGGTAATGGACAGTGCTCCTGCACATCCTCCAGACTTGGAAGACCTACTGTTTGAGGAGTGTAAGTTCATCACAGTGAAGTTCTTGCCCCCTAATACCACTCCTCTCATCCAGCCCATGGACCAGCAGGTCATTTCAAACTTCAAAAAACTGTACACCAAAGCAATGTTTCAAAGGTGCTCTGAAGTGACCTCGGACACTGAACTGGAGGAATCATTTCAATATCCTCCACTGCATAAGCCTTATAGATAAGGCTTGGCAGGGAGTGACTTCCAAGACTTTGACTTCTGCTTGGAAAAAACTGTGGCCAGAATGTGTCCTCAACAAGAATTTTCAAGGGTTTGAGGCTGACCCTGATGAGCCTACGCCTGCTGTGGAATCTACTGTGTCTTTGGGGATGTCCATGGGGGTTGGATGTGAGTGGCCAGGATATGGAAGAGTTGGTGGAGGACCACAGGGAAGAGCTAACCACAGAAGAGCTGCAACACCTTCAACAGGAGCAGCAACAGATCACAGCTGAGGATATTGCTTCAGAGGAGGAAGAGAGGGAGGAGAATATGCCTTCTTCAGTGATCAAGGAAATTTGTGCAAAGTGGAGTGAGGTGCAAAGTTTTGCAGAGAATTATCACCCTGACAAAACTGTTGCAAGCCGTGTCTGCAACATGTTCAATAACAATGTCTTGTTCCATTTT